GGACACACCTTTCATGGCACAAGAGTTTTTTGACGCTAGTCCTACACAAGAAGGTTTCGAGACTGCTTTCTATAAAAAAACTAGCCTATCCATTAAGTGTTTTTGTTTTGCGTCATGTGCGCAATGATGCCCCTAGTACTATTATAAAGCTCTTATAAACGATGTAACTCTTTTGGTTAATGAATACGTGGAAGTGTGATAGTGTCAAAAAAATCTGACCTATCCTAATGCCAAAAGTCACCACCATTTTCCATAGTTTTTTCAACCCCTCAGCGGATTCTGCCAAAATCGGGCTTTATAGTTTTTCCGCCCAAAGGCACGTCGGATACCACTGCAGGTGCTTCTAGACTGATCTTGCTACAAAATTGTCCCGTGAAAGCCCTTGCAAAACTCCTTACCAATCAATTGAAACATGATCTTTACCTGCCCCTTTAGTCGTGCATGCTGGAGAAAACTGGGCATTGATTGGTCCACGTCTGCATGCCGGCTGCACCTCGTTCATTTGGCCAGGCAAGATTGGGACAGAACCCATGTTAATCAAAATATTCCTCGTGGCAGTGTGGAACCTATGGAAAGAAAGGAACTTCAGAGGCATCCCCCATAGTTTTGCGGCCTAGCTGAACAGGTTTAAGGAAGATTTTAGCCTACTTCAATACAGATCCAAGGAGGCCCATAAAGCCTTCATAGAGTCCTTTGTCACCTCTTTATGCTAGGGTTTTAGCTCAGTATAGTAGATAGGTAGGGTTTTAGTTCTCCAAAGGGCCGCGCTTGGCTGGATGGTGAGCTTCTTCTTTGAGCCAGTCTCCCAGGAGATCTTGGGAGACTGGCTCAAAGAAGAAGCTCACCATCCAGCCAAGTGCGGCCCTTTGGAGAACTAAAACCCTACCTATCACTATACTGAGCTAAGGGCGCCAGGATTCCCCTCCCTGCCACTAGCTGTTGGAGAAACAACCAGGAGGCAAATCCACTAGCTCATCGACAAAGATCGAGGGGAGAAAGGCTTTTCTCTAGTTGCCTTGCGAGAGGGGAAACAAAAACGCGTAGTAGTCTAAGTCTCTATTTGCAATTGTTGCTAACGTACTACAATGCATGATCATGCATGCATGAAACACTTGGTTGCTCTCTCACCCACTAAACCCGTCCCTTAATTGCCTCATCCTGCAACACGCGTGTATACGATATATTGATCATTGTCATGGCCGATGATAATGTTGCATCCAACGTTAAGGAAATACTTGACAATCTCTCTGCCACCACTGGTTTCAATATAAACTTCACCAAAACAACTTTCATTGCCTTGAATATTTCACCTTCCTAGTTGACTACCATGGCAGCAACTTTGGGCATGGGACATTGATGGGTTGAAGAGGAGAGGTTATTGTGGTCGATGGCACGGGGAAGAAGGGATTGAATTGAGTAGCGTATGTGGACCGTGAGGCTCTCGGTTGAAATCACCGAGGAGCATGATTATATAATAGATTGTATTATATCATACTGTGTCCACTGAAAATGATTTCTTAATTAAGGGTCATGAAGGTGACGGTGAGATCTTTCTATTTTGCGTGAGATATTCTAAACTATTTATACTTTTTTGTTAGCTCATGAATTAACTTTATGATACATATCACGGAGGCCAAGTACATGGTCTCTACCACTTGGCTTTGACCAATATTTAATATTAAACAAGGAATAATATGTATTTATATTTTAACAAGATAATGGTTATGAATGAACAAGCGGGAGAATATCATTACATGAGAAATTAATTAAACATATTACATTAATTATTTATGGAGGTTTATAAATGCAAGGAACTACTTTGGAGTACCATCTTAAATATGAACTCTAAAAAAATTAGAAAATCTCAAGCAACTCACACTTGTGTCTAATTCATAAGGCAAAACATACACCCGATTAAACTCAAAAAATATGCAGCTATTGTTTTTTATAT